ATCTGTGCAAAGGCTGGAAAACCCTCAAAAGATCTCATACACAGAAAGAGTATTAACAACTAGTAATAACTACTGCCCAAAATAATGTTAATAAAACATAAACTGTGGGCGATTATAAAAATGAGAGAACTCAGAGCTGCTGAAATTAGATTCCATCAAGGATCGGAGTAGACTCAATAACATTTGAACATCATGCAGAGGTGTAGAGGAAAAGACGTCCCCCACCACCTCTTTCTCTCTCCCCCCCCCCCTTTCTTTTCCCCCCTCCCGCCTTGTTTTTCCCCTTCCCTCCCCCTCCCTCCTCCCTTTCTTTTCCCCCTCCCCTTCCCCCCTCCCCTTCCCCCCTCCTTTCTATTCCCCTTCTTCCCCCCCCCCTCCCGCACGCTCACACATTCATTCATAAGTATCCCTACAATGTGTGGTCATTATGCATCGGCCTTTAGCTGTTTTGTTGACAGGGCAACCTTTTCTCCGGGCTTGAACGCTGGCATGCCCAGGTACGGGCAGCTGGCACATCGGAAGGCATCACCCAAATAGCACTGGAGAAAATAAACATGTAGCTTTGAAAATGATTATTTGGTTATTCACTCACAATAAACGTTACGGGTTTTTGGCAACTATCATTTACAGTCTCTGTGTGTGTGTGTTGGTAGTCATGTCTCTCCACATCCTTCTGTCTCCTCCTTCTTACAGTCTGTGTGTGTTGGTAGTCATGTCTCTCCAGATCATTCTGTCTCCTCCTTCTTACAGTCTGTGTGTGTTGGTAGTCATGTCTCTCCACATCCTTCTGTCTCCTCCTTCTTACAGTCTGTGTGTGTTGGTAGTCATGTCTCTCCACATCCTTCTGTCTCCTCCTTCTTACAGTCTGTGTGTGTGTGTTGGTAGTCATGTCTCTCTACAACCTTCTGTCTTATCCTTACAGTCTGTGTGTGTGTGTGTGTTGGTAGTCATGTCTCTACAACCTTCTGTCTTATCCTTACAGTCTCTGTGTGTGTGTTGGTAGTCATGTCTCTCTACAACCTTCTGTCTTCTCCTTACAGTCTGTGTGTGTTGGTAGTCATGTCTCTCTACAACCTTCTGTCTCCTTCTTACAGTCTGTGTGTGTGTGTTGGTAGTCATGTCTCTCTACAACCTTCTGTCTTCTCCTTACAGTCTCTGTGTGTGTGTTGGTAGTCATGTCTCTCTACAACCTTCTGTCTTCTCCTTACAGTCTGTGTGTGTTGGTAGTCATGTCTCTCTACAACCTTCTGTCTCCTTCTTACAGTCTGTGTGTGTGTGTTGGTAGTCATGTCTCTCTACAACCTTCTGTCTTATCCTTACAGTCTCTGTGTGTGTGTTGGTAGTCATGTCTCTCTACAACCTTCTGTCTTCTCCTTACAGTCTGTGTGTGTTGGTAGTCATGTCTCTCTACAACCTTCTGTCTCCTTCTTACAGTCTGTGTGTGTGTGTTGGTAGTCATGTCTCTCTACAACCTTCTGTCTCCTCCTTACAGTCTGTGTGTGTTGGTAGTCATGTCTCTCTACAACCTTCTGTCTCCTTCTTACAGTCTGTGTGTGTTGGTAGTCATGTCTCTCTACAACCTTCTGTCTTCTCCTTACAGTCTGTGTGTGTGTGTGTGTGTTGGTAGTCATGTCTCTCTACAACCTTCTGTCTCCTTCTTACAGTCTGTGTGTGTGTGTTGTTAGTCATGTCTCTCTACAACCTTCTGTCTTCTCCTTACAGTCTGTGTGTGTGTGTTGGTAGTCATGTCTCTCTACAACCTTCTGTCTCCTTCTTACAGTCTGTGTGTGTGTGTGTGTGTTGGTAGTCATGTCTCTCTACAACCTTCTGTCTCCTTCTTACAGTCTGTGTGTGTGTGTGTTGGTAGTCATGTCTCTCTACAACCTTCTGTCTCCTTCTTACAGTCTGTGTGTGTGTGTTGGTAGTCATGTCTCTCTACAACCTTCTGTCTCCTTCTTACAGTCTGTGTGTGTGTTGGTAGTCATGTCTCTCTACAACCTTCTGTCTCCTTCTTACAGTCTGTGTGTGTGTTGGTAGTCATGTCTCTCTACAACCATCTGTCTTATCCTTACAGTGTGTGTGTGTGTGTTGGTAGTCATGTCTCTCTACAACCCTCTGTCTCCTTCTTACAGTCTGTGAGTGTGTGTTGGTAGTCATGTCTCTCTACAACCTTCTATCTCCTTCTTACAGTCTGTGTGTGTGTGTGTGTATTGGTAGTCATGTCTCTCTACAACCTTCTGTCTTATCCTTACAGTCTGTGTGTGTGTTGGTAGTTATGTCTCTCTACAACCTTCTGTCTCCTCCTTACAGTCTGTGTGTGTTGGTAGTCATGTCTCTCTACAACCTTCTGTCTCCTCCTTACAGTCTGTGTGTGTTGGTAGTCATGTCTCTCTACAACCTTCTGTCTCCTTCTTACAGTCTGTGTGTGATGGTAGTCATGTCTCTCTACAACCTTCTGTCTTATCCTTACAGTCTGTGTGTGTGTTGGTAGTCATGTCTCTCTACAACCTTCTGTCTCCTTCTTACAGTCTGTGTGTGTGTTGGTAGTCATGTCTCTTTACAACCTTATGTCTTCTCCTTACAGTCTGTGTGTGTTGGTAGTCATGTCTCTCTACAACCTTCTGTCTTCTCCTTACAGTCAGTGTGTGTTGGTAGTCATGTCTCTCTACAACCTTCTGTCTTCTCCTTACAGTCTGTGTGTGTTGGTAGTCATGTCTCTCTACAACCTTCTGTCTCCTCCTTACAGTCTGTGTGTTGGTAGTCATGTCTCTCTACAACCTTCTGTCTCCTCCTTACAGTCTGTGTGTGTTGGTAGTCATGTCTCTCTACAACCTTCTGTCTCCTCCTTACAGTCTGTGTGTGTTGGTAGTCATGTCTCTCTACAACCTTCTGTCTCCTTCTTACAGTCTGTGTGTGTGTGTTGGTAGTCATGTCTCTCTACAACCTTCTGTCTTCTCCTTACAGTCTGTGTGTGTGTTGGTAGTCATGTCTCTCTACAACCTTCTGTCTCCTTCTTACAGTCTGTGTGTGTGTGTTGGTAGTCATGTCTCTCTACAACCTTCTGTCTTCTCCTTACAGTCTGTGTGTGTGTGTGTGTTGGTAGTCATGTCTCTCTACAACCTTCTGTCTTCTCCTTACAGTCTGTGTGTGTGTGTGTGTTGGTAGTCATGTATCTCTACAATCTTCTGTCTTCTCCTTACAGTCTGTGTGTGTTGGTAGTCATGTCTCTCTACAACCTTCTGTCTCCTTCTTACAGTCTGTGTGTTGGCAGTCATGTCTCTCTACAACCTTCTGTCTCCTCCTTACAGTCTGTGTGTGTTGGTAGTCATGTCTCTCTACAACCTTCTGTCTCCTCCTTACAGTCTGTGTGTGTTGGTAGTCATGTCTCTCTACAACCTTCTGTCTTCTCCTTACAGTCTCTGTGTGTGTGTTGTTAGTCATGTCTCTCTACAACCTTCTGTCTCCTCCTTACAGTCTGTGTGTGTTGGTAGTCATGTCTCTCTACAACCTTCTGTCTCCTTCTTACAGTCTGTGTGTGTGTGATTGTTAGTCATGTCTCTCTACAAACACCATACAGAGATCTGTGCAAAGGCTGGAAAAGAGAAAACCCTCAGAAGATCTCATACACAGAAAGAGTAATTAACAACTAGTAATAACTACTGCCCAAAATAATGTTAATAAAACATAAACTGTGGGCGACTATAAAAATTAGAGAACTGTTCAGTCATGAGCTAGGAAAAGAGGCATCAGAGAGCATTGTGATAGCAAGAAAACCCTCAAAAGATCCACAAACAGAGATCTGTGCAGAGACTAGAAAAGAGAAGACCCTCAAAAGATCCACAATTCCACAAACAGAGATCTGTACAAAGATTAGAAATGAGAAAACCCTCAAAAGATCCACAAACATCACAGCACTCTGGCCACTCCCATAAATGGTCAGTCCCCCATCTGCAGCAGCAAATGAAGAGTTCCAAATCCGATGGTACCAGTAACCGTATATATCCGTCTCATCCTTCCCCTGAGTGTTGAGCATCAGCCAGATCCCCTGGTAACTGCTCGCAGCGCCATTCTCCTCAGACCGTAATGATCTATCTGCGCCTCTGCACTGTTTACTCACTCCCAATCGGCCTTCACAATACCTAGCTTGTCATACATCAATTCACCACCACGTGGTGCAGAGCCAGCCAGTCTATCTGCCTGCTCATTTCCAAACACACCGGCACCCCTATTATACACGTCTATTATACAACACTGCCAACTTACATTTCCACAAGCTGATGTCTTTGCTGGCACCTGTATTTTCTCTGTCTTCAACTCTTCAGCCAAACCACAGGTGCAGTTTTTGCACGCCTTCTTCTTCTTAGGGCCAGCCCCACAGTCGACTGTAACACAAGAGTGGAAACATGACAAGTGATAAATATGGGACTCATGCAATTCACATCAGTTCTCACTCCTTGTTTCACCATGGATCCATTAGGATCCGAGACCTCATACTGGACACAAGGAGCACTGGAAAATACTGTGATGCCTGAAAAGATCACTGGTAGACGATGCAGAGGCAGACCAAGAGAAATGCCAATGGATGGCTTAAAACAGTAGCATGGAGAAATATTATCAGTGCAACTGATCCAAAACACCAAGAACCAAGACTGATGTACCATCCCCTACCACAGACACTAACATTCCCTACCACAGACATTGTAACATCTCCTAACCCAAACACTGTTCCATCCCCTACCCAAGACACTAACAACAGACAGGTAACATCTACCCCAGTCATATAACATCTACCCCATACTTGCTGGCACAACCTGGTCTAATTATCTGCCTTAATCCCTCCTGTCATAGATAATCATTATTTTAACAGTAAACATTTTTAGATTAAATTTTTTAAATTAAAAATGTTAGAAAAAAAATTGAATGGGGTGGATTCAAGATAGGCAGGATGCAGATGTCTTGGGAAAACTGCAGGGAAATGTTACAAAACAAAGACGACCATGCGCTGGGTACATTCTGAAAAAGCCAACAGATAATCCAAAGATAAAAAAATGGATTGATATCTAAAAAGAAACACTTTGATGAACACTGAAGACGCCGGACTAGACTCCTTACATTATTTCAATAACTGGCTAAACCAAACACCTGCCGTTACAGCTATTGCTAAACACACACAAATCTCTCATCTAACAAATTACATTTCACTGAAAAAGTATGTTTCTAATTACTTAATGGAATAAAACTCCAAGAATAGCACACAGACACTCACACAGTTTAAGTTACCCTTTCACCCCGAGAAGGCTAAATCTAGCCACTTCAACCGTGACTCCGGCAGCTAAAGGCTAATATATTGTCATTTCTGCAGTGACCTACTCTTGAAAAGCAAAGTTAAAAGCTAGTGATTATATGTGTGCCTGAGAAGTGTTGAGGAATCCTGGCTGTTAACATCTATACTAAATATAGCATTCAGAGTGGCTGCTTGGGAATGCATTAATGTTTTTAAAGAGACTGACTGAAACATTTCCCAAAACCTTCAGTGGTGGAGGTCATGGGGTCACGGCAGGAGTCATCCAATACATGTTTGTTTTTCGCTTCAGGGAAAACATTCCATTTCTTCTTCTTCTGCCTTTCTAGCTCCCCAGTGGAGCATAGGCCCTCGGCCAACTCATGCAGTCGTTCTATTCTTTGCTATCACATGCAGCTCTTCCCATGTCCTCCTCATCTTTCTAACTTCATTCTCCAGCTCTCTTCTCCATGTTTTTTTTTTTGCCTTCCTTTATTCCTATGCCCCTGTGTGTCCCAATGCAAAGACACTCTAGTTATATTACATATCATTTAGTGTTCTGTTTATTAATAACTCCCTTTATACATCTTTGTTTCCAAACAACATTTTAAAAAATATAAACAAATTAAATTAAACAATCAGATATCTGTGTCTAATTTTTCTTTTCTAAGGTTTTCCCAGATATTTCAAGAGGTTCCAGACCCCCTTTGCAATTACTAGATCAAGAAGTTGGTGGGGAAATCATCATCATCTTCGTGTTCACCGGCTGTAAACTCCAGCAAAAATGTTCTTGTTACTGGGTACCTCCTATTCAACAACCTGAGTGTTGCGTGTACATCCGTTTCACAGGTCTGACTCACTTACATGCAGACTGCTGGTTCCTTGCCTCTCAGGCAGATGTACTCCAACTTCAAAGGAAGCTCCCACTTAGTCACTCCTACGACATGTTTCTAGGCAGGCAATGGTTCTATTCTTATTTTCCCTACAATTGGGCCCTGGAACCCAGCCAGGGATGATGGAGAAATATATATTTACAGGCAGATCTAAAACCATTAGAGTGACCAACTGGACAGAGAAGACCAATCATGGAGATAAATGGGGCAATCATGGAGATAAATGGGGCAGGCAATATATGCAGCTGAAGCAGTAAAGTCAAAGATGTACCTTTCAATGTTGCTGGGTCTGGCTTCTTCAAGTCGTTCTCATCCAACAGGTCATCCTCGTTGACCAAACCCACATCATTGTCCAAGAGGTCTGTGGTCTGCAGGCTCCATACTTTAGCCACATTCTCGTCGGCCTTAGCTGAGAGAATAAATGAAGCGTAGAGAGTCATACAACATTTATAATGTAAATATGTTTTAGCTTAAGCTGAGTTGAGTCAAGAAATGACATCCCAGCACTCTGGGGCATTCCAATATGTGCTTCGTCCCCATCCTTAGTAGCAGAGTTCCAATTCCCCCATCCTTAGTAGCAGAGTTCCAATACTAATGGTGCCGGTCGTAGTCTGGCCGTATGTCCGTCTTGCCTTTCCTCTGAGCGTAGTGTGCCGGCCCAACCCTCTGATCACACCCAGGTGCATCATTCTCTCCAGGCCATAATAATCTAGTTTCTCTTCTCACTTCATTTCTTGTTCCCACATGGAATAGCATGAAAGGTCAAGAACTAGGGAACAAGACCTCCAGGACGACCTGGGGGTCCAATGGGAAGACAATATCAGCCCCTGACTAACAGAGGACTGGAATGAAACATACAAACAAACAAAAACTGCTGTCAGAAAAGTCTGGCAATCTCACTAGCAAAACTCTATACCCCAGAGCACAACAGGATAGACTAAGTAGTTTGTTAACAATGAACAGACAGCCACAGTAGCTAGGTGCTTCCTGCAGATTAAAGGCCCCAAGTTCAAATCCAGGAAGATTTTAATAACGGATCCCAGGGCTCCCAAATCAGACTGCCATAAAATGGTTACCAGGAAATAACATAGAAAGTAAGTGGTTGCTGCAATGCTGACATCATCCCCACAAGCCAAATGGTTTATAAAAAACATGAACCCAACACAATATGGTTGAAACATTAAAAGCAGGAGAAGAGTATTTGTAATAACTGCAACGATACCCAGTATGGCTAAAAATATTTCATTTCACAATTAAGAATCAAACCTGCAAATAAATTTTAAACAGGCCTAAAAAAAATAATTTTGTTTTTAAAATGTATCAATGTGTATTATGTCATCAACAAAGACAAAACATTTGATTCTTCTGACAGTCCATGGTGTGCGTCATTGTTAATCACATCCTGGCCTGCTATCCTGCATACTGTTAATCATTTCTAGAAATTTCTTCATGCCACCAAACCATCCATTATATTTTCTCTACCGACAACTTTGACCTCAAGAGCAGAGTGTGCAGAGCAAGCTATGGGGAACCATGAAAGACCTGCTGCTGACATGCGAGTTCATAGAGGCAACTAACTTGATGGTCTGACCTGAGCATACGAAACCGAACACAAAGAAGAAGAAAGAAGTCTTCCTCCCCCTACAAATTTCCTTGTTGTTTCAAAGTACTCCAGTTCTCCCCCAACTTACTACATCTCCAAACACAGAAGACTGCTCCTTCTGAATTGGAATTATTATCACAACTCATAATCCACAGAAAGTTGGCAGAAACATGAAGTCAAATGTTTTCGGTAGGATCTTCATCTTCTTCTCAGAGTTAACCAGCTGTAAAATCCAGCAGAAAGTTCTGGTTGTCCACTTCAGATGTTTTTGTTCCTGAACTTCAGTTTTGTGTGCGTATCCATTTTACAGATTTGACTTATTATGTACTGACTGTCGGTTGCTTACCTCGCAAGCAGATATATCCAGACTCCTAAGGAAAACACACCCTAACAGCTGTCCTTATACCGGACATGATTTTTCATATTTTAAAGCCCCACTCAGGCTGGCGTCGAGGCCCTAATATAACCTTGCCTGGGGTTTCTGAACGTGTACCCAGGTGATTCTCCTCCATGTGGATCTGGAGTTCCTTAGTTAAATGTCCATCTCCAACTCGTGACATTTTGTTGATATTGTCCACAGATGTGACTCAATGCAAAGGCGCTGACAGAAATCCTGCTGTTGCTAGACAACAGTCTTCTTTTGTGGGAGTCATCGTGGTATAGCGACCAGACGCTCACGTGTGGAATCGAAAGTCGTTGAGTTTGCTTCCTGGTGGAGCCACTCCCCCCCCCCCCAAATGGCCTTGACTCCCAGGTCGACCCAGCCTTAATTGGGTACCGGGTGCACTCCTGGGAAGTAAAGGCGGCCAGCGTGATGCGACCCATCTTGTGCCGATAAGTCTTTAAAAATATAGGTCTAGCCCTATATGCCTAGAAGGAACTTTTACTTTTTAAGTCTGCTCTTGTTCTGATAGCACACATATTCTGTATAGATGGCTCCTGTGCATTCCAACAATGTTCTTTTCATTTCATAATTTTCAATGACCTCTTAAAGTAATTCTCTATTTACTCAATAAAAAGCCTTCTTTTGACCTATGAAGGCAACATTCATTTTATGTCTGTGATCCATTGTCATTTCACTGATTTGTCTTTGGGCAATTACAGCATCAGAACACACTATTCCTCTTCTAAAACCAATCTGTGCCGGACAGTTCAACAGTGGATCTTATCCATTGCTCCAGAACCCTGGCAAACATTTTACCAACATGACTTAGAAAAGAAAGATGCCTCGGCAGGTGTTGCAATCTTGCCTATTTTCTTTTCTCTTTCATATGGACACAGTGATGGGTCTTTGTCGGTCACTTGGTACATGTTTTCTTTAATAGATGACTCCAATTTTTTCCACAAGCCTTTATCAATTCAGCTGTTATTCTATTGATGCTTTATTCTTTGGGCTGCGTCTAACAGATTATCTGACTTTTTGTTCAAGGATCTGAGGTTGATTTTCATGTGCATATCTGGGAGTGAATGTTACTTGGTAATCTTAGTTTCAGCTTCATGGCAAATGGGTCACCCCATAGTTGCTCTGCTCATGTGCCAACGAAAAACCCACAGAATGTTTATCACAGTCGCTTGTGGAAAGATTGACAGACTGCTGTCTTAGTATATGCACTAGCATACACAGGCATTAAAGGCATATGGTAGCCATCCGAAGTGCTAACACATACAGTCTGACATTAGAAATGCAGTTCATCATCATTGATGGTAGCAGAAGTCACCAACAGATCAGCAGTTGCACACGCAACCAATTTTAATCACACAAGGGCACCACCAATATTGTGACAACAGGTAACGCGCCATTTTCTGAATTTACAATTCACACCACCACGTTGGTCACAGTAAAAAAAACATTCCAAAATAAATATGCAGCTCACAGTGCCACACCATGTACTCAACACAGAAGCTGGGTGACATTTCTATATCCTTTCAGTCTACAAATGGAGCACAAATGCAACGGCAGAAGCAAAAAAACACAGTGACCGTGCCTATCATCTATTTTGACCGGAAGTCCGAATGCAACTGTCTCTGCGTTGTCTGAAACATTCAGATGGGCTTGAGAATATTCTTCCAAACTTTCTCTTATCTTATTTTCTTTATGTATAAGTCTTCTGCAGCTATCATTTATATATTTGCACAGTTAAATGGAATTGTCGCTCATTCTCACTGTCGCTACAGCTTCAGGAAATTGTCAGATTCGATACAAAGTACGTGAATGTTTACTCCGTACATTATTCATGATTTTTACTCTGCTTCTTCAACCGCTTTTGTGGATTACTGTTTTGTTTTGTTTGTATGATTCATAATCATCATGAGCGGGATCTTAGCCATTTCTTGTATCACTCTTTAACTGCCACTGCTTCTTTGATTTCACTGTTCCATCCAAATCTGTCTCATAGCACCTCCTATGTATCTAGAACACCAGTGTTCTCTTAGACATTTGAGAAGTGTGTTCTTAACTGTATACCATGCTGTCCACAGCGCCACTAGCTGTACATTGCTCAGCTATGTTTGCTGCAATTTCCTTCCATATTTTAGCCTCAAAATCTGCAATCTATCTTTTTTTATCTCAATAATATTGGTTATTTTCACCACATTTAGTTACTTTTGTTTTGCTAATAGTTGCTTCACTGAGGTATGCAATTACCAGACGATGATCAGTATCCTGAGTGGTATTTGGAATGACTCCAGCATCTTTTATCACATTTCTTTTCTTCAGGCAGTTCGGTATGAAGTCTACTTTAGCAGCCTGATCTAAGTTGTTCCATTTATACCATGGATATATCTGGCTCTTAAGTGTTTGTAGAAACCTTCGCTGACATACAGCCCATGCTCTGCACAAAGTTCTAGGAGAGCGGTTCTCAACCTGTGGATCATGACCTTTTTGTGGGTTGGAACAACCCTTTCATAAGGGTCGCCAAAAACTATCTTAAAACACATTTTCACTGAAGTTATGAAGTAGCACCAAAACAAATTGTATGGCTGGGGGGTTGCCCAACACAAGTGACTGTATTAAAGGGTCGTCGCATTAGGGAGGTTAAGAACCACCGTTTTAGAAGATGCTGTCCATTGTAGCTGCAATCTCTGTCAATGTCTGCATTCAGACACAGACGTTTCTCCCAGGGTTTTCGCTTCTTCCTTGTGTGGATTCAAGTAATCCATTACCATTAGATAATCAATAATGGATCTTTTTGTCCCATGTGTGGGTCATTTTCTGAACGTCTTTAGACCTAAATGCTTTAAGCAGCACATGACTGGGAAATAAGTTAGGGAAACAAAGGTCTGGGGCTGAAAGAACAACAACTGCTTTTTATAACATGCTTGTAAAAGAACAGTTGGTCTTTTTTTTTCTTCTTTTTTTAATATCATGGAAAGATATAAAAGCACTTGAAAACCAGAACCAGTCAGCTTCACAATATCACCACTAACATCTAGTGAACGCTCCAGCTAGAAAGCCTTCATAAGCATATTACATAAATCTATGTTACCACAAGAACAAACATGAATACACAAAACATTTCTGTCTGGCCAACAGAAAGATTAGCAGCAACATGTGTGACCACCGCAAATAAATAATGGCCAGAAGAGAACCATGGATGACAATGACAAGGGCCAAAACTCAACGACTTAGCCACAGGACCGACCAAAACTCAAAGACATTACATTAAAAAACTGCGCTAGATGTTAAGGCTGTTCTGGGGTGATTTTCGGGCTGTCACTGGAGTGACTAGATCTGATGGCGGTAACCTCTGAGTTACAGACACCATGGTGATCCTAAGAATTCAACTGCAATGGCACTAGTTTGAAGGAACTGTTCTACTCATTGGAGAAATGTTGCCACCACCATCATGCTTGTTATGGTGTAGTAGGTCGTTGTTTTTTTTTATGCAGCCCCAGAGCCATCAGAGGATTGACAGTATACTTCTTCGCGTTCACCAGCTGTAAGCTCTAGCGGAAAGTTCTGGTTGTTCGTCCATTTCTGGATTGCAGTCCTGTTCCAGAACCTGAATGTTGCAAGTGCATCCGTTTTACAGATCCGACACTCATTTGTATGAAGACTGCTGGTTCCTTGCCTATCAGGCAGATGTACTCCGATTTTGAAGGAAGCTCCTAATCAGTCAACTCTTATGACACGCTTTTTGATATGCAGTGGGTGTATTCTTGTTTTCCCTAAAACAGGGCCTCGGGACCCACACGGGGAGACAGTGTACAAGATCAAAAGACTGTGGAAAAACAAGACCGCCAATGCCATAAGGCACGGACATGAGAAGGAGACAAGCTGTAGAGATAACTGCCAAATAACAAGTAGAATACAGGTGTTTCAGATACTCACAGACTGACTTTGGCTTAAAAGACAACTTGATCTGCGACGACGAGCCAACCTCATAGCCAGGTTTTTCTGCCACAATTCTGTACAAGGTGGCACCGCTATTTGAATCTGGCCGTTTCCCAAGCTCTGTCTTCTCGTCGTCATTCAGAGATACCTCGTACGGCTGCAGACACAAAACATATCCATTCATTAATGTTTAGAACAACAAGTTTTCACTTCTTCTTCTTCTCTTCCACCTTGTACCTCAGCGCAGTGTTGGAGGAGATGTAACTTTCATTGATGAGCTCTGTCAAGAGCAATACTAAGACTGATATTCATTTCTGAAAGGCTGTTCTTAATGTCATCAATCCATATTTTCCTAGGTCTTTTGCCCGCTCTTTACCTATTGTAACATTTTAGTGTGGCTCGCTGTGGTAGATAGTACTAACCCTGTTTAACCGTAAAGCAACTATACTGGGGGGGGGGGGGGGGGGCGCAACACAGCTATGATGCAACCTGTAGTCCTGCATGGCTGGGTCTGATGGGGAACAGGGGCTCCCAAGCCACAGAATTTAGGGTTGCATGGCTAGGGAAGTCACCACAAACTGCACAGGGAAAATTGTTTTTGTTTCTACCATCACTAGAAGAATGTCAAACTTTCTTCTTTAAAACCGAGTACTCGAACCAAGGTCTCCTGCATATGCCCCCAGCCTCTAACCACTTAGCCGACTGCACCTCCTCAAAGATTTGTGTTTATTATGTACTATTATCTTTATCTTCCTCAATATAAAAAAAGTCAGAACAGGTGTTGAAGTTGTCGTCACTTCGCTGTAATGTTTACTCTACTCTTACAGCCCATGAGACAATTGCTATCTGCCTGCCAAGACGGTCACACGAAGCCTGAACTCCGTAGACCATCCCCATGCATCGCTGTAACATTGCACTCATTAACTTACAACAACGCAGCCGAGAAACGAACCCACAAGCCTCAGAGTGAAAGGCAAAAGGTCTGACCACTTCTCCACAGAGTTCCCTGAACCTTCTGTGTGTGATTAGTGATTAGAAAGGATTATTACAGCACACCGGACAGATCCACAGGTGCTCCGATCTCCTCCTCAGAAGCTCCACAAGTGTAAAACAACTAATGACGCCCGTTCTGTGCTGGTTAATGAAACATCTTGTCCCCTTAGGGAAACATTTATTTCTTGCAGCTCTCAGCTGTACCCCTGTGTCCATCTGTCTAGACAGGGATATGGAGTCATCTAAACTGTGTGTGTGTCCTTTCTAATGTGTTGTATAACATAACAAGATCATTTTTCAAGCTTGTTCCTGATGCCATCATTCCATATTTTGCATACTCTGTGTTCATTATATTTCTCCAACATAGTTCTCTGTGGCAGTTGGTGCCAGAGCATTCCCAACAGATGACCAAACCATCTCACCTCTTGCTTTTTCAATAACTATGGAATTGTTTCAGTCTGAGTCTCTCAATCTTTGTAACCTGTAATAACACACCTCAAATACTTCCATGTTTTTAAAGAACATCTGAATATTTAATCTATTTTTGTTTTGTTTTGTTGGACAATCAACATATTTCATAGCAGTTTAGTAAGTGCTGTGAGAGATTTCTTCAGAGCTCACCATCTGTAAACTCCGGCTGTTTGTCCACATCTGGACTTTTATCTTGCTCCAGAACTTGAGTTTTGCGTGAATGTTCCGTATTACACAGCTGGCTAATTTGTATGCAGACTGTTGGTTCCTTCTTTCCCAGGCACAAGCCCCCCAACTTCAAAGTAAACATCTCAATTAGCTGCCTCTTGGGTCATGCTTGTTGGAGGGGGGGGGGGGGAGTGTACTATTCCTTTTCCCCCCAATACTGTGCCCGGCAACCCACAAAGGAATTTCCGTCTGTTGGACCTGTCACACCTAGTAGGTCAAATAAATTCCAGCCACAATAAAGACAAAACTATGGTACAGGAGAAGAAATGTACTGCTTGATAGCTTTCATAAAGGGTACCGGCCTCCTGATATAAGTTTTCTGACAAAAAGATCAAAGAAGAAGAATGCCAACATAATGCCAAGTCTGCAATGAACTGTTCTTGAAAGTAGTCAAATGACATTTGTTCTATTTACGCCTGTGAGGCATTTAATAGGCCAGGATATGAATATCTTCTTCTTCAGCATTCCGAGCCCTTGAGGTTCAATGCTGCATGTATCACCCGCCTCCATTCATCTCTCTGGTTGGCCTTCTCTTTCCAGTTGTTGACACCAAGTGTTTGCAGGTCTGTCTGGACATTATCTCTCCATTGTCTTCTTGTTCTGCCTCGTGGTCTACAACCATTCATCTCCCTTATTTATAGTTTTCACTTCTGTTTTCTTGGTCTGTGCCCATTCATCACAGTTTTTACTTCTGTCATCTGACATTCTTTCAGTATGCCCCAACCATTTCAGTCTATTAGCTCTCATGATGCCAGTGATCAGTGGTGATTTGAACAGATGAATTTCGTTGTTGCTTCTCACTCTCCATTCCCCCCGTTTGCATATAGTTATGTTGAATTCTTTGCCTTGCAACCAGTTTCTAAATGCTTGTCCTTGTTTAATACCCATTTTTAAAAGACGGTTGATTATCTCTGACTCAATTCATAACCTCAACAAAAATGATGACTGTCTCTTTCTGATGAGTCAAATTCAGAGACAAAGAATTAATACAACTTTTGCCCGTAACAAAAGACAGCAAAAACATCACTTTGCTTTTGGAATGACCAAAAAATGTCTGGTGAGCAACTTTGTACTGAGAGAATTGAATGATAATTCAGACAGTGGAAATATTCACTTATGTTTAGAAGACTGGTATAGAAAAAAACTACTCAAAGAGTTAAAAATAATTCAGACAGTGGAAATATTCACTTATACTCAGAAGAATTGTTTAAAAAATTTTAATTTAAAAAAAAAACAATACTGAAAGAATTAAAGAGAATTTAGACAGTAGAGATATTCACTTACACTGGGAAGAATGGTTTAAAATAACCACTGAAAGAGTTAAATAGAATCCAGATACTGGAAATAAAATGAAAAGAAAAGAATACTAAAAGAGGTAAATATAATCCAGACAGCAGAAATATTCACTTATACTCAGAAAAATGGTTTTAAAAAAAGACAACAGACAATGTTACTTCCTTCCCATGTGGTTTAGGGGCTCCAGTGTGGAAAAAACAAAAACAGACCTACTGCATCCCAAACAAGCATGTCTTAGAAGTCTTGTAGGTGGGGACTTTCTTAGAAGTTGAAGTGCATCTGCTTAAGTTAGCAGTGAGGAACCTACAGTCTGCATACAAATAAGTCAGATCTGTAAAATGGACGGCACATAAAACTCTGGAACTAGATTAAAGTGCAGAGGTGGACAAACAACCAGAACTTTTCCCTGGAGTTTACAGCTGGTGAACGTTAAGAAGAAGAATGTTACTTCCATTTTAATGCAAATAAAAAAGAAGAGACACAAACCTCAGATATATTTACAAATCCTGAAAGCTTCAGAAGGGACACAAGTTTATCTTTTGACTGGACTCCATTTTCATTTCCCTGGCAGGAAACTGCTAACTCCTGAAGGTAAAGTTTCCCTTTGGGGGTCAGCACTCGGCACAGCTCACCGAGTACTTCCACGCTGTGGTGGGTGTGGAAGGAGTTGATCAGACCAGATATGGCCACATCGAAACTTGAACTTGAATGGGCAGCTGGGGGAAGAACATAAAATATAGGTCAACACACTAAAAGAGAATAAGAGGTGAAGTATTTTAATGATCTTTCTTTGCTGGCTGGCCCATGATCTCGATTTTTCAGATTTTGTTGCTTGAGTAACCGTAGCTGAATAGCTCTGGCCTTGACCTTAGTAGGGTCTAATAATATACATAGACTGAATGTTTGTATCTATGTTTTTATCCCCCTGTAGTGAACCATTATCTCCACGATAAATTATGTCCTAGACGGAATGATGTCAGCTCATAAAAATGAATGGATTATTTGAGAGTAACAAGGACAGCACCGTGAGTCACGAACAAAATGCTGGCAAGATGGAACCCGTGTGAATCACCGAGAAAATGTTGGCCAAATAAAACCCATGTGAATCGGAAAACACGCAAAAGTCATCATTGTAATGTGGGCATTTGAAGGTTATATAATGCCTTAGAAAGAGCATGTGGGCAGTCTCGTTTGGGCTAAGAAGCAGAGTGCGTGAAGAACGGAGAAGTGTTTGCGGATCCAGAATGTGTCTGAGGATGAATGTAGCTTCAAACGCCCTACCTGGCGAAACAGCAACTATAGGCGGTTTCTCGTCTGCCTGCTGAAATTGTGTTTGTGTCGTCAAAATGGAGGAAGTTTGCGCGCTTCATTGTGATTGTTGGAATGTGCGAATGTGTTTCGATCAGTGCAGGTAATATTGCCTTTTTTCCCCATAATTGTTTGCACCAACCTAGACATGTCTCCTTTCTTCATGTACCGGCTGAGATAACAGTGAGTAGAAGAATAAAGAAAGAAACAGTCTGGTGTTGTTCGCTATCGTCCATTTTCTACTCGTCGTGTTGATGTCGGGTGTGAAAGAGGAGTCTGCAGTGACTAGAGCCAAAGACACAAAGAACAGAGTCATTGCACACCCCACTGGAATGAAAACAGGGTGGTTGAAAAATATAAAATTTAACTTATGCCCAGTTAATCAGAACAGAACTCAGTCATAGGTCAAGGAGACCAAACTGCTCCATCTGTTGTTTTTCAATGAACTTAGTACAATGTGTTTCACAATCATCTAACAATATAATCATTCACCCAATCTCAGCTGGTTACTGTGACGGCTTTTCTCAGATGGTGATTTTGCAAACGTGAGCTTTAGATAAATGTCCAAATTTGGCACTGATGACTCGATGCTGGCATGAATATACTGCTGTTATGGTTTTTGTTTTTCTGCAATCATAGTTATGTTTGGATGTCTTAATAAAGGTGACAATTGGTTGAGTTGATTCAGAAACTGACATCACAGCACTCAGGGCATACCCACAAGCTCTCTGTCCATATCTTTAGCAGCCAGTGCTGAGTTCTGATACTAATGGTACCAGGAGCATTCTGACTAAATGTCCATCTTGTCTTTTCTCGGAGCACTGAGCATCTGCCAGAACTCCTCCCTGCATCAATCTCACCAGACTGTGGTGATCCATCTGCTTCTCTGAACTGTACACGCTCTCCCACAAGGCACTAACCATGTCTGCCTTATCATGCGTCAGTATTCCACCAAGTTGTGCACAGCCAGCTAGTCTGTCAGCCTGTTAATTTCCCAACACACCAGCAGCTCCCAGAGAAAAAAAAAAAAAAAAAAATCGGTATATAAGACAATAAATACTCACACATAACAAGTCTGTCAATGTGCTCCAGCTGCAGCCTGCCACCAGCCCCTGCTCGGACTTTCTCTGAAACTGCAGACACCAGCTCTTGCATATGAGAAGTCATCTGGTCGCCTGCCCACAGTAGCAGAACCCTTGAGCCATCAGGAAATTCAATACCATCCAAGCTGGACATAGTGACTGTTTCCCAGGTTTACTTTCACACTTCTGCATGATTTAGAACAAACATAAATATATGCACTATTAAAGAAACTTTCACAGAAGATCGATCAATCTGCTCAGAATAACACAAAAACCAGCCAGCAGCAAGAGTGTAATACACTATAGAACAGCAAGCTACAAGACAAGTGGTCGACCAAGAAACACATGGGTGGAGAGAGTAAGAGAGACACTACAGAAACATAATATGACATAACACAAACTTTGCTACTAGCAAAAGAGAGGAAATGTGTTAAAAAAAATGCAGTCTGCCATTAATGGAAGTAGTCGGGCACAATAAACTAACTATACACACACAGAATTGTTAATTATGTTAATGTATGCATCATTACAGGGAATCTGCATGGCCATGTGTTTCACCTACTGACATCAGGTCATGGGGGTCATTCAGTTCACGATTACAACTGCTCCTTGAGGTTCAATACTGAAGGTAGGAAGCGCATGGCGTCTACAGTGTTCTTAGTGGGCTGCTAGCCATTCTGTGATGGAAGACTGAGCTAAGTGGGATCAAACCCACTGCAAAAAGTGGACTCTCCCACCTTTAAATGTTTTGTTCGGCCATAACACGTGATGAGGAGCACCCGTTTGGCAATACGATGACCCTGAGGGACACAATCCATTGTGTAGGTTTACTTATTGCGGTTCTGAAATATTGAATACTGCTTTAGGTTTCTTAACTCTAACCCTAGCTCTAACCTCAAACACTATCAAAAATTGAAGATTATTAGTATCTGAACTTACACAATCAATAGACTACAACTCTAGGGTTGGCATTTAAAGTATTATGAACTCATTATAGACTGCATCCCTCAGGGTTGCCACATGGAGTTCTGCCACTCTCTCTTGCATCCGTCATGAAACTATAGTTGTGCATCCATCATGAAACTATAGTTGTTCATCCGTCATGAAACTATAGTTGTGCATCCGTCATGAAACTATAGTTGTGCATCCGTCATGAAACTATAGTTGTGCATCCGTCATGAAACTATAGTTGTGCATCCATCATGAAACTATAGTTGTGCATCCGTCATGAAACTATAGTTGTGCATCCATCATGAAACTATAGTTGTGTTCAGTGAATCCAATACGGGCTGGAAGGATCTAGGACAGTGGTTCTCAACCTTCCTAATGCCGCGACCCTTTAATACAGTTCCTCATGTTGTGGTGACCCCCAGCCATATAATTATTTTCGTTGCTACTTCATAACATGTGTTTTCCGATGGTCTTAGGTGACCTCGGTGAAAGGGTTGTTCGACGCATAAAGGAGTCGCGACCCACTGATGATGTCAGGAAACATCCTCTATTTAAACATACAACTTAATGAGTATGCTGGGTGTGAAAATGGTGGCTGGTGTTTATTTGACAGGGCTGACAAAGATCAGTTCCATTCTCATACCAGGGCACACAAGCATGCAAGGAAATGAGCCAGCTAACAGGCTTGCATGTAAGGCTACTGTAGTTAGAGTTGTAGTTAATATACTCTACAAGTAATAAGATGCTTGTTAAAGCCAAACGACTGTGAATCTGCAACCATGACCAGACTGCAAAAACAGCAAGTTAAAAGACAAGAGCACTATGCAGGAAGCTAAGGAAGAATTAGAAACTAACACAGAACTTGAGTCGTGAGCTGTTACATGCTGCGAGATCCCAGCACTTATGGACTGAATGGCTTGATGTGCACTAAGAATAATCTGTTGACTTACTAACTGACCTTTGAATGTATTATGAAAAGTAAAGCCAGTGTACATGTAACTGGGCAATATAACAGGTAATTAGACATATTTTGTACTGTCATATGAACAGTTTTACATCATCTATTCACTATTACTAGATTCCAGATTTCTGGAAAGAAATTTGCAAGGCTGGATCAAAATATTTCTTTCTCTTTTCAGCAATCACTGGCTGTAAACAGATGGAAAGTGGTGGTTGCCTGACCACTTCAGGTGGTACTGTTCCAGAACTTGAGTTTTGCATGCACATCAATTTTACAGATCTGGTTTATTTATACACAGGACTGTTGGTTACATGCCTTTGACTCAGAAGGAAGCACTCCTAATTAGTCGTCTTTTATGCGTACTGATCTTGTTATAGGGCTGTGGGTCTATCGCAAAGACATAAGGAAGTTAGAATCAGCTAGAACTGAAAGGATTAAAGCCTCCACACACAAAAGAAGCAGCAGTGTCTAACTGCTGATTCAGGTGTCATAGGTGTTGACACTTTTATCAAGGCGGATATTGACACTTTTTTTTAATTGTAAATGACTCACTGACTGATTACTATATTATTTATTAATAATTAATTACTTTTTATAAATCACACAAACATAACACCATCAGAAAAGCATCCTGATAAAGTTAAATGATAGTAAATATAACCACCGAGTGTGAATCTTATCCTCCTAATTCTAACATTTCTCTTCTATCATGCCATTACTGTCTGTAAATTTACATATTATTTTGTCAACAGATAATCACACACAATGAGTCAGCAAACTGTTTTGGCCTACACTAAGTAAGTTACATTTATTAATATGAATTATTATTGCTCCGGTATGCTATTCATTTGGTAAACAATTTTTATATTATATTATACTTTCCAACTTGTGTGATAACCTCACAACTAAACCGAAGTACTACAAGAAAATTAGAGAATATAATGTTCGTACACCAACGAATTATGAGAATGCAGCTTTTTCAAGACAAATGATTCTCTTCCTGTCATAATTACACGCCCACACTGATAAATGAAAATTTCATACATATACATATGTTTGGTAAAGTTTTTCTTACTCTGACTTTAAACTAGTTATGAATGAAAACTGAAGGAAGACACACTCAAGAGCTGACAATACAGCAGCAATGCGACGCCAGCGTCCAGTCAGCTGATACTTCAGACAGTTTAGCGAGTCGCTTGTGTTGAGTTTAAATTTTATTTTAACAAAAATTCAATAACATTAGATTTAAAATAATAAAAAAATTCAGTCCTGTGAGGACTAATTAGATGACATACGTGAGTTCCTGCTACTCAAATATAACTAAAACTTCTCGACTAATAAATCAACACAAAACGTTGACTCACTTTAAGAAACTGCCTCTAGGTTTCCTCTCACGAATTGTCCGTGCGACTGCGACACTAACCACAACCGGAAGTTCGAATTTTTTGTTCTTCGTATTTTATTTAATTCGCTTATTAAAAGGTAATTACTACTTACATTTAGGAGCCGATAGAGACCTGCCTAACAAGGTTAAGCGATTTATTACTAGATCTAAAATCCATCTATCAAAGGACAAGTTATGACGAAATGACCATGCTATCTTTGACGAAGTTGCCCACTGTATATAAAATCGACGAGAATAATCAAAAGAAAACTCCACTACCTTATTGATACAATGTTTGTAAAAATTGAGTTGAGTCAAGACGTTTGAAGTTTAGGGTTTTAAGTTTAAACAACGGATTAACATTATGGCACAAGGTTAGTAACCCATAAGTGCTCTGTTCTACTTCTAACGCAAGTCTAAGCCCGAAGTATCTCAGCGCATTGCACGGGCTCCGTAGCACCGGCGAGGATCCTAAAATATTTTTGGGTAAATTTTTAACTCCAAATGTGTGCCCTGGCAGCGCCGTTATGCTACTCTTTTTTATTTCCAACTGCCAAGGGCTTTTTTTTTTTACGTGTGCAGCAATCCACACGGGCGTCCGATATCACTACCTAGAGACTAGGGGAAATTACTAGAAGTCCACGAAAACAGAAAAAATCCCAGCAATTACCGCGGCTTGAACCCGGGACCTCTAGCAATTGAGGCGGACACCATACCTCGAGACGACGCAGCCCCGTGAGTCAAGAATTGACATCACATCACTCAATGCAATCTCGCGCATGCAATGTTAGTAAAATTGTCTAATTATTCATACTACAATTTCTATCATAATCACAACCCAAAATCAAAGAAATATGTGAAACATTACATATTACATATTTGTCTTGTATCAATAATTGCCCTCTGTTTCACCAGTTATACATCCACCTCACCCTCGGTCCAGGGTAACTATCACTCTGTGCAAGTCGGTTATGCTGAATCGTCAAATGTTATGTAAACTCAATCCTGCTAAGTGACGCAGAAACTTGGACAATGAACAAGCAACTAGAACATTAAACTGAGGCTCTGGAGATGTGGGTATACAGAAGAATAGGTCGTATTTCATGGAAACAAAAAATCCAGTGCAGAGGTTATGGAAAGGCTACAAGTGAAAAAAGAATCTCTGAAAGAAATACAAAATAGATAATTAAAATACTTCGGGTACATTAAAAGACAGTTAATTAGTTGCCTATTCTTCACAAGACGCTGCAGAACCAATTCCAGCATTTTTTGGCTGTTGTGGTTTTTCTATGCAAATGTAACGTTCAGTAGTTTGCCACTGAACACTCAACGATCAGCTCTCAGTACCACTATCGATACCAGCGCAAGAGAAATAGTCTGCAGCAGGGATCGAACCGGTATTACGAAGCGCGTTCGCAGACGCTGTAAACCACAGACGCTGACAGTAGACACTTTAAAAAACCATACTAGAGGTAAATGTAAAAGGCAAAAGAGCAAGAGGTAGACAATGATACGAGTGGCAGGACAACATCAAGAGATGTACGGGCAGCAGTCTGAGTGAGTGTACAACCAGGACAAGAGACAGAGCGTGTTGGAGATCTATTATGACCTAGAGAGAATGAGACACTTGGGTGTAACCAGCGGGTCTGGCCGGCTCACTACACTCAGAGGAAAGGCAAGACGGCCACGTAATCTGATTATGACCGGTACGATCAGTATTTGAACTTTGCGCTTGCTGCTGAAGATGAGGACAGAGCACGCATGGGAATGTCTCTAGTGGTGTGATGTCAATTCTTGACTCAACTTAACTTCCATTCCACATCCCTGTTTATTCGTCTGGTTTTTTTGTTTTTGTTGT